CCTGACCTGAAGAAAGAGGCATTTAATGAAAGAATGGTTGTTGCATGGAGTCCTAGTTTAGTCTGTTCACCCAGCCTCTGACCAAACACCTAATGAAGATGACACAGGTCCAGTTTTTGGAGAACCCAGTCTAACCAGGGATAAGAGAAGGAGCTAAGTTGCCAGCCAAGGAAGAAGCTCTGGACACCTCTGCTGTACAGCACTGTGGGAAGGTGTGACGTAGGCTTGGGAAGGAGGAGGACAGGAAGTTAACTGAGGAGGAAAGAAGAGGGGGCCCCTGATAAAGGTTGTCTTGAATGAGGAGCTGGGACACTGGAGATGCTTTGGGTCTCTGGGCAGGTTTGTATACCGAAATCTCTCTCTCTTTTTTTTTTTTGAGAGACTGCTCAAGCTGAGCTTGAGTTTGCAATCTTCCCTTCCTCAGCCAAGAGAGTACTAGGACTACAGTACCACTGCTCCCAGCCCTAGCGATATTTTTAAGAAGCCTCAGAGCTGAGGCCCCTGTCAAATTCCCCCTTTATTGGTCTTCTCCCCTCAGATGAACGCCTCACAGCTGAGGAGATGGATGAGCAGAGGCGGCAGAATGTCGCTTATCAGTACCTGTGCCGGCTGGAGGAAGCCAAGCGGTGAGCAGAGTCAGGAAGATGGATTCTCTCTGGTCTGCCTTTCCCATTCTCCCCATCCCAGACACCTGCCCTAAGGCCAGTGCAACAGGACAAGGGCCCATGCTGTGGGAAACGATAGGTTAAAATAGCATCTTCTGTTTTTTAAGGCAAATTCCAAACATTACATCCTTTGATCCCCGTATGTCCTTCAAAACATACCTAAGACATTTGCTATGGACATTTGCTTACCTATGTCCAACATACCTATGGACATTTGCTTACATAACCACAGGGCCATTATAATACTCAACTAAGGTATCTGTAAATCCCTAGAAGATCAATACTCAGACCATTTTCAAATTGTCCTGATTGTCTAAAAAGAAAATCTGATTTTTCAAATGGCTCATTCAGATAATGATCTAAAAAAAAGCTCACATATTACACTTGTCTCTTAAGCCTTCTTAATCTAGAACAGCTCACCTCCCCTTTTTCGTTTTTTATGTCATTGACTTGTTTAAGAAACTGGGTGACTTTTCTTGTAGAACATCCTACATCCTGACTTTATTTGCTTCCTTGTGTCATTCAACTTGTTCCTCTAAGCCACATATTTCCTATAAATGGATGTTGGCTGTAAAGGCTTGATTGGATTCAGGTTCGACTTGTTTGACAAGAAGACTTCATTGGTAGTGCTGTGTGTTCCGTATCACATCTCATAGGAGGTGCACTGTGACTGCTCGTCCCACTTTCAGTGAAATTAAGTCTGATCTGGGAATTTGGGTGATAACCTGATGTCTGTCATAAGATTCCCCATTAACCTTTTTTCTAATGCCTTCCTGGATTATTGGTCCTCTTATCAGGGATTCAAAATGACTATTTTCTAATTCTGTCCTTGCTTCTTCATGAGTTACCTGAAATTCTTTTCTAAAAAAAAAAACTTCCCCACATCATCTCAGTGCTCTCTCGTTACCCTGCAACTCAGTTTGTCTGAGGGGGCAGGATAAATACTTAATTCTTTCCTTTTACCCAATAGTCTACTTTTAATGTTTTCCCAAAAAGTAGGTAAGATGGAGCAGATAGATCAGGTGTCTGTGGCAGGGGAGGCAGGAAGAAGGCTGTGGCTGGTCTGTTTGGAAATGTACTTTCTTATAGACTTAATACGTAAGGAAATTAGGAGATTTCATCAGAGGAAGCTTTTTTCTCTCCCTTGTGAAACTACCAGCAATAATGTATTTCATAAATTTACATTCGAAGTGTTTTCACATTCATTAGTTCATTTGATCCTGGCAGCTGCCCACTGCTGCAGGAAGTCTGGGTGGTGTTACCCTCATTTTGCAGATTATGCAGCTGAGGCTCAGAGGAGATGTAGGGGAGATGGCATGGAAAATGAGCCTTCTGATTCCAAGAGTCTGTGTAAGCCTCACTGAAGATGGGCAGGCGCAGGATCCGTAGGGCAGACTTTTGGAGCAGGTGGGGCTCAGAGTTTGTCAGTCCAGGTGTTTGGGGCAGCCTGGGAGGAAGTGGGAAAAGCTATGTCATGAAGAGGGTAGCGGGTGGAAGACAGGAACAGGAGGTAGGAGAGGCTCAGGGTCCACTCCAGGAGAGAGGGAGACAGATCCTGCTGTTGGAATAAACCAGCATGGCTGCCAGAGTGAATAAGAGATGCTCTCATACCTATAGCTGGATGGAGGCCTGCCTAAAGGAGGAGCTTCCTTCCCCGGTGGAGTTGGAGGAGGGCCTTCGGAACGGGGTGCTGCTGGCCAAGCTGGGCCATTGTTTTGCACCCTCCGTGGTCCCCTTGAAGAAGATCTATGATGTGGAACAACTGCGGTACCAGGTAGGCTTTATATACTCCACCTCTACCTTCTTCCTCTAGCTACCCTTTCTCTTTGCAACCATGAGCATGGGTGACCATACATTTTATTGTCCAAATCTGGACAATTACAGGAGGAAAGTGGGTACTATTAATCACTGCACTGGGACAACAGGTATTAATCAGTGTCTCTCCTGAGAATAGAATAGGGACTGCTATGGAATGGGAAGGGGTCCAGGGGCAGCAGCGAGAGAAGGTACAAAGGAGGGTAGGCATGATCAAGGCATTGTGCATGCATGGAAGTGTCACAGTGATGCCCTGTTAACTTGTACAATTTGTACGTGTTAAAAACTTTTAAAATAAAAAGTCAGTGTCTCCTCAGGTGGTTGTGTATTATCCATTAGCAGCAAGGGGCAGTTGTTAGGTGGGTTTTAAAATGGCCCTAAAAAAAGAAAAAGATGGCCTGGGGCTGTAGCTCAGTGTTTACCTATAATGTGCAAGGCCCTGGGTTCAATCTCTAGCACCACCCAAAAAAAGATGGCTCCTAGAAGCCAACTGCCTGCAGATTCTTCTACCCATGCTGTATACTCCAAAGCGCACAGGGTTAACCACCCTGAAGGGTCTTCTGGGGCATGTGCCCCTTCTCTGTGCTGTAGTCAGCCTACCCGCCTCTCCTTCCTTTCCCTGCTCTGGACTCCCCTTCTAGGAAGGCTTACCAGCTCAGGCATCCATTCCTGGTGATTTATGTTTCTGTCCTTGGCTGGGGGATATATAGGGTGGGGTCCTCTGTTTCCCCAGCCTTTCCCCTTGAATCTCTAAGCTGTAGTCTGGGCTCTGCCTATAAGAAGCACTGAGAACTGTGGAAATAGATTCTCCTCTCCTTTCTTCCCTTTCAGGCAACTGGCTTGCATTTCCGGCACACAGACAATATCAACTTTTGGCTGTCTGCAATAGCTCACATCGGTCTACCTTCGGTACTACTGGACCTCAAGATTGTCACTTACCTCTACCATTCACAAGTCCCCCAGCCACTCACGCTTTATCTCCCTGGATACATGGAATATCCATCTCCATGTATCTTTTTGTTTGTTTTTTTTTGAAACAGGATCTTGCTATGCAGTTCAGGCAGACCTTAAACTTACTATGTAGCCAAAGCTGGCCTTGGACTCTCAGTGATCTTCCTGCCTCAGCCTCCCAAGTGCTGGGATTACAGGCGTGCGCCACCACGCCCAGTTCCATTTATCTTCTAAACTAATATAACCTGACAGAACAGTCCCTTGAAGCTATGTTTCTTTGAACCAGGTTACCTGGTCCCTGTCTCTGCTTCCTTGTGGATAAAGGGAAGGGAAGGCCCTGCGGCCTGAGTCACCTCCTTGCCGTTATAGAGTGAGGCCTCTGGGTAGTGCAGGAGATAGGGCTCAGGTCAGCCAGCTGTCCTTCCACCTGAACTTCACAGGGAAGCAAGGGCACACCCGTCCCTAGGCCCCTAGGTGATAGACTGCAGGTTGGAAGCTGAGGCCTAGGGACCCCAACTGGACACTTGATGCATGCCCTCTCGTTATATCTCTGTTCCTCATCTGTAAAGTGAGGACAGTAATCCTGTCCTATCTTTAATGTTGGCAGAAGGGTCACGTGCTCTATACAAATTCCATTTGTAAAGAACTATACAATTTTTTTTTTGAGACAAGGTCTTACCATGTAGTTCAGGTTAGCTTTGAACTCCCTATGGAGCCCAGGCCTCCCAGATGCTGGGATTACAGGCATGCACCACTACACCCAACAAAAGCTATACAAATTAAGGCATGATAGGGTCCTTCAATGTATGGTTTTGTTCTGTTCTGTTTTCTTCCCCTGTAAAAGAACTCTAAGATGAGGAAACAGCAGTAAAGAAAGATGCTTTGGGGGCTGGAGATTTAGCTCAGGGGCACAGCACCTGCCTGGCAAGTGCGAGGTTGTGAGTTCAATTCCCGGTACTAGGAGAAAAAAAAAAAGAAAAGAAAGATGCTTTGGAGGCAGAATCATAAGACAGCATGTGTCCTTGGTGAGGCCAGCATACTTTTGGTCCATTATCATGCCCCCAAATATAGCCAGGATGCATTAGTCCTCATCACAATTGCAAGGTGGCGTGGAAAGATGTATCTAGAGCCACCCAGTTCTTAGCAAGGTCCTTACTGATCAGAAGGCTCTGGCTTGGAGACGGGTGGCTTGCCCTGCTGCCTTCGGTCCATGGCCATGTGTGCCTTGTTGGGCCCTCCTGACAGTGTGTCTCCCCCAGGAACACCTCTCTAGGGACACAAACTCACCATGGCTCTAAGTGACTGGGCCTATTTTTCCTGGAAGATGTGGCTTCTGTCCTGTGGCCTGGTAGCCTCATCTACTGTTTCATGCAGCCAGGGCGCCATGTGACCATGTGTCTGTAGCTTAGCATGTGTCCCAAGTGCCTTTCTTTGTAACACTGGACTGACTGGAAATGGTTGTGGAGAATGATCAAGCACCCAGGCAGTAGGGGAGCACAGCCCTCAGACTGGAGAGGCAAACCTAGTGCTTGATTCCCTCTCCATGCCTGGTGCTGTCTCCAGTTACTACAACTGGCCGGTTTTCCCCTAGACCTTCTTCCCAGAGACCACAGACATTTATGACAAGAAGAACATGCCCCGCGTGATCTACTGTATCCATGCTCTCAGGTGAGAGACGGTGAACTTGTCACTGGGTTTCCTCCAAGTAGATGTGACCCACAATTTGACTGCAATAGTGAAACAGGAAGGAGAGCTTGCTATGGGTGGACCACGGGGAGCACTTGTGAGGAGTGTGAGGTTTCATGTTCACAGGGGTGTTTGGGTTGATGTGCACTTTTGCAGGCACATTTATGTGGGTAAAGGGAAAGGCAGGAAGTATAGCATCTTTAGCTTAAGACTGGGTTGAAGGGATCAGAACAGGACGCATGCGGAGGGTCATGCACAGGCTCAGGATGTAGGTCGGTGGTAGAGTGCTTGTCCAGCATGTGCAAGGGTCTAGGTTCAATCCTCAGCACCACTAAAAAAAAAAAGCATATGCAAGCCACATAGTGTGAATGGCAGAGGCTGTTTGGTAGTCCTCATAGCAAACTTTAGCAGTTAGCTGGCCGTATCACAGGAATTAGACTACTAGATCTCATGGCCATTTTATCCCTTCCTGCATTCACTTCCCATGTCCTTTTATGCTTCTGTTCTTTGGCTCAGCAGGTCTCTGCCGGCAGCACTTTTCCTGTCCTCTGTTACCATCCCATGACTTGTTCTTGCCAAGCCTCTGGGAAGCCTTCCCAACCCCACCAGGCCTCCCACACCTTTTTATTTATCTTTCTAGCACTCACCTTGGGCTGGTGCATGATAGCATTTTTTTCCTGGAGATTGGGGGTTACTCAAGGGCAGGTCCTGAGGGGTCTTCATCTCCAAGTTGCCCCGCTATATGTCCTGTGCCTGCTTGTTCTGCGCACCAGTGCCTTCCAACACCTTCCATTCTTTCCCAGTCTCTTCCTCTTCCGGCTGGGATTGGCCCCTCAGATACATGATCTCTATGGGAAAGTGAAATTCACAGGTAAGCCCAGCTCCTTCCCCAGCCACCACTCTGGGCAGGGTCTTGAGGGGATTGAGCCTGATGAAGGGTACTGGTGGTGTCATTGCAGCTGAGGAACTCAGCAACATGGCCTCCGAACTTGCCAAATATGGCCTCCAGCTGCCTGCATTCAGCAAGATTGGGGGCATCCTGGCCAATGAGCTCTCTGTGGATGAGGCCGCAGGTAGGGACCAGACACTGCCCTGCTAGGAGTAGGTGCAGTGAGCATGGGGGAGCTTCAAGCCTCCTGATGCTTGGATGGGCTCTGGCCACCTCTCACCCACAGGTAGGGCAATCAGGTTACCTGGTTTGCCTGCTTCTGAGGATGGTGAAGGGCGTGATGTCGGACCAGACTGCAACTGGCTGTGCTCTGGCCTGGGTTCTTTCTGGCCTCCTGACCTTGTTTCCCTGCCCCCTCCCTCCCAGTCCATGCAGCTGTTCTTGCCATCAATGAGGCAGTGGAGCGAGGGGTGGCCGAGGACACCTTTGCTGCCTTGCAGAATCCCAGTGCTCTCCTGGGGAATCTGCGGGAGCCTCTGGCGGCCATCTACCAAGAGCTGCTGGCCCAGGCCAAGATGGAGAAGGCTGCCAATGCCAGGAACCACGTAAGGAGGGGTCTTGGGATACTGAGACCAAAAAGTTGAGTGACCTGAAAAGTCTCAAGTAAAACCAGGATTTTTTCTGTCCAGGTTCTAGTTCCATAGCAGCTTCCTAGAGAAGCTGTTAACTTGTCAGTGGTCTTAGAGAAATAGGGAAACCCAGGAGAATGACGTGAATTTAGAAGAGAGGCCTAGGAAAGAGGATCTCGGGGGACGATCTTCAGGGAGGCCTAAGGGAGCTCTGAAATGTGGAACGGGATGAGAGTGGACTGGCGGTTCCCGAGGCTGGTTTAACTTAACTGTATTAGGGTCGGGGGCTTAGACCACGGTTTCCTCAGAGTGCTTCTGAGCTGACTGACCTTGGCCTTGGGAAGTTCCCTAGAAATCAGTGTGGATAGGGAAGGAGGCATGGCAGAGGACTACCTTGGTTCCCCCCTCCTTTAGTTTTTGCAGGATGACAGAGAAAGCCAGGACATCTATGACTACTACCTAACCCAGGCTGAAATCCAGGGCAACGTTAACCATGTCAATGGTAAGGGACAGGCTGAGGGGGGCTTGCAGGTGCCCTCAGAGTCTGTACTTGGAGGTTTGGGGGTGACTTCTTTCAGAAGGCCTTGTCGTTTCACTTGAATCAGCTCTTGCCTCAGCAATAAAGACGAGAGTCCAAGGAGTGTGGACTCTGCTTTCTGGCCATCAGTGTCTGGAGAAGTGGTCCATCTGTGGGAGGCTGCTGTTTAAATGGATTTCTGTGGAGAAGACAGAGGCAAAGGGACAGGCCTTTCGGCTCTTGGTGCTGAGGGGGCAGTTGGACTGGTGTCCTTGAGAAGAGAATGTAGAGCATAGATGGGGGTAGGGGGATTAGCGGACAAGGAGCAGGTGGAAGGCTCAGGATGGGTGGGCATTTGCCTATGATGGTCACAATGTCCTCAAGTTTGAGATGGTGGGATGGGAGGCTGTGAAGATGAAGCTGAGGGATTGGGGTTGGACCAAATCGTCCAGCAACCCAAGGGACCAGGGTCGGGGTAACTGAGTGGGCAGGAAGAGGGTTTTCTCACATCCATCGTGGAGTCTTGGCCTTTTGCAGTCCGAGGTGCTCTAGAGGTTGTTGATGATGCCCTGGAACGACAGAGCTCTGAGGCCTTGCTTGAGGCCCTGCAGGATCCTGCCCTGGCCCTGCAAGGGCTGAGGAGAGACTTTGCTGACTGGTACCTGGCACAGCTGAGCTCAGACAGAGAGCAGAAAGCCCAGGTCAGTCTCTATCTCTTACCTGCCATCTCCAACTGAAGGGATGGAGAGGGCCTCTGACTCAGCCACCACCGTGACCAGTCCTTGTAATCAGGGAGTGCTGAGTGCACGTTTAAAGCCTAATCTACTGGGCTGATCAGTTTTGCACTGACCTGGGGGCAGTGCTAGGCGCTGCCTTTGCCGAATTGGGGCCTCAACTTGGTAATCTTGTTTTCAATGCTGCTGACTTTGTCAGTTGTGTTCTAGATGTTTCTTATTCAGACACTTGTTCAGGGGCTGGGGATTTAGCTCAGTGGCAAAAGCGCCTTCCTGGCAAGCGCAAGGTCATGAGTTCGGTTCCTGGTACCGGAGGAAAAATAAACCAAAAAAAAAAAAAAAACCAGACACTTGTTCAGTAAAAAAGTAAAAAAAAAATGGATTCATAGGGACGGGTGGGCCAGGCTAGTCTGCCTGCAGGGGGGCAGTGGGATGGAAGGTGGCTGCTGGGTGGACTAGGAGTTCATGCTGGCAGCCCCAAAGCGTGCTTATGGCCTCAAGGGACTCTCTTCCTAGGCATCTTTTCCTTCTTTAGGAGCTGGGCCTGGTGGAGCTTCTAGAAAAGGAGGAGGTCCAGGCTGCTGTGGCTGCAGCCAACGTGAAGGGTGATCAGCAGCAAGCCAGTAAGTTATCACCGGGCCTGAGGTTTGGCCTGGGTGACCTGCTGGCTCGTAGAAGACCGTCCCACACCTTCGTGGGCCTCTGTATTGGGCAAGGGAAATGCTGCCCAGCTTACCAGCCTATTGAGGGATATCTGCCCTCTCTTGCTGTGCTCTGTTCCTGGCTGCCCCGGGGGACCCTACAATACACGAAAGTCTCAGAGGCAGTGCCATGTTAGACTGCACTGGAAAGGCAGTTTCCTCTCAGGAAGTTTGCCATTCTGACAGTTTCAAACTGTTTGAATTTCTTGGCTTCTGAAATGTAGCAATTTTTCAGGTGAGAGAAATTTATATTCTCAGTTTCTCTTAAAAATATTTAGGTAAAACTCTTCACTGGAAGAACATGACGAGCTGGTCATCCTCTCCCCATGAGAGATCAGTCTGTCTTCAGGAATGAGGCAGAGTGCTCAGCACATTGCAGTGGCCTGTGACACTTTACCTCTTGGCCTCTGTCTGTCAGCTCCTGGACACCAGCTCGCTGTGGCCCCGGGCCACTTCTGGCTCCTGCTTGCCTTATCAGCTCAGGTCATCCCCAACTGCTGTTGCCAGAGTAATCTCCAGGCAGATCTGATCTTCTCTCCCTTGCTGAACATCTTCAGATCTTCATGGGTTCTTCCATTCTTTTTGTTTGTTTGTTTTGTACTGGGAATCGAACTCAGGACCTTGCGCTTGCCAGGCAGGCACTTATGCCACTGAGCTATATCCCCTGGTTCTTCCATTCTTTAGTGGTACCCTGGTTCACAAATTTAATTCTTTCCACATTTCTGATCACAAACCAAATTGGATGAGAACTGAATCAAGTTTCTCCATAAGGTCAACATTGAACCTAACTACAGAATTTGAGTCAGTTCTCGTCCAGTCGGTTTGCAATCAGAATCGTGGAAAGAAAGAAGTTGCTGGACCGAGGCACCACTGTACTTTGGTCCTATCGCCTTGGCCCGACAGATGAGCCCTTTCCAGAGCCTCCCCCATCTCTTCTGTCTGCATTCCACCCAGCTGTGCTGAACCAGTTGACCTGCTCTTTCTTGATTGCCCCCAGCCTTCCCCTCACCCGGCCTGTAGTCCTCTGGATTACATTTCTCTCACATTTTCCCCCCAGCTGTCTAGGCTCCTCTGGGAAGCTTCCTGCTCACTCCTGGCCAGAGCCCCACCTCCCCTGCACTGCCATAGCCTGGGGGAATCGTTTCAAACCTGTCTTTGACAGCAAGGCTCTGTAGGTATTTTGTGTCCTTATTTGTCCCCAGTAGTTGTGTGCTCCTTGATGCCTGGGCATTTCATAAGCTCTAGAATTTGTAAACTCAGACTACGTCGGTGTACCACAGACCCGTTCCAACTTCCTCCCACCACTTGCAGCCAAAATGGCTTTTCCTTGGAGCTGATTCTTTCTTCCTCTTTTCTGTCACCAAGGTTGTCCCTGGAGCTCCTGACCTATCTTGTCTTGTATATACTCTACAACCACCTGTCAATCTTGTGCTCATCAGCTTAGGAACTCACCTCTGCTATGACTGCTACTGTGTGTGTTCCATGCTGAGCTACTCAACTTCTACGCCTGACAAATGGCTACTTTATGGAGCCTCTTCTTAAAGTGACCCAACCCCCTTTTCTCCTGAGCATGGAGAGAGGTGTTTCAAACCCAGCAGACAGCCCTCTGAGCAGTGACAAAGCCATTTCCCCTCCAAGGTCCCCAGTGGAGCCTCGCTGACTGGGAGAGCAGGGAAAGCTGGAAGGCCCAGCCTGCACCACCTTTTCTTCTCCCCTGCAGTGCTCCAGGCTGTGCAGCGGATCAACAGAGCCATCCAGAGGGGAGCAGCTGCTGATACCGTGAAGGAGCTGATGAGCCCTGCAGCCCAGCTGCCTCCAGTCTACCCCTTTGCCTCGGCTGTGTATCAGCAGGAGCTAGCAGTGCTGCAGCAGCAACAGGGGGTAAGCCCACAAACAGGACCAGTACAGGGCTTCCTGTGCAGCCAGGGGCCATCTGAGATACTGGCAAGGGATTATGGAAGGGAATGGCAGTCATCCCAGTCTTACTGAGCATCACAGTAGCCGATACCCTTACAAACCCTGCGTTCCACACACACTTAGTCCCGAAGGGAACCCCATCAGGTAGTGTTATTTCTAGTTCAGTGGGGAGGAGGCTGAAAGGTGGTGGGTGAGTAACTGCCTAACTCCACGTGACTGGCAGTGGTGGCTGGGAATGGACATGAGGCTGAACATCCTAGCAGGGAGTGCTTTCAGCCACTCCTCTGTCCCACCTCACTTCAGTTCATATGACACCGCCTTGGCTTAGGGATTTCGCAGGCTGTTGTAGGAGTTAGGATACACCTGAGGGAGCCATGTGTGTTGGCACAAACCTGTAAGCCCAGCCCTCTAGAAGGCTGAGGCAGGAGCACTGCAGGTTTGAGGCCAACCTGGGCAACTTGACAACTAACAAGACCTTGTCTCAAAATTTAAAAAGAGCTGGGGATGTAGCTCAGTGAGAAGGCCCTGGGTTCAACCTCCAGTAGCACACACTAAAAAAGGAAAAAGAGAAGATGATTCCAGGAAATGGGGAAGGAGGAAGCAGAGACAGGAAGTACTCTGGGAAGGCTTCCTGGAAGATGAGAGACTAGTAGAGAATCACATTCCTAGTGGGTGTTTATAGAACATCTACTCCAGGCACACCCCGCACACAAGCATGACCTTCAGGACGTCACAGTCACAACATATGGATGGCTTTCATGCAAGGAAGCATAAAAGAAGTGCTAAGAGGAAAGCATAGTGACTATAGACGCTGCTATTCTTAGCTGTGTGGCACTGGGCAAGTTATTCATCTCCTCATTTCTTCGGATATAAAATGGGAATCATCACATCGTTACCTCTTAGGATTGCTGTGAGGGTTCAGTGAGCTAGCGTGCTTAGAGAGGAGCCTGGCGAGCAGGTTCAGCTGTCATCACAAGGCTCTAGCGTAGCAGGCAGGCAGGGCGCTTCCAACAGAGGGAGGGCAGAAGCAGATATTGGAGGAGGAGGAGACCTGGGTGGGCAGGAAGTGCGGCCAAGGCCTCATGAGTGCATTGCAGTGTGGCAGTGGCCACTTTGTCTTCCTCTGTGTGCGTAGGGCCTGGTGCAGTTCTTGGTATGAAGTAGGAACCAGAAGGCTGCTAGCAGAGCTTACTGCTTACTTGGGGCTCTGGTGTCAGGCACTGGGTTTAGCCATGGATTTAGCTGTGAAATGGGGCTGTGAGTGGTACCTGCCTCGTAGGCTTGTTATGAAAAAAAATTTTTTTGTTATGAAAATTAAATGATACTCTGTGTGAACTACCTAGAATCAGGAGCACATATTTAGCATTCCCCAGTATTGAATACAACTATTAGGGAGTGAACCTAGACCCTTGGGGAACCAACCCTGCCTTCTGCTGCAGGAGCTGGGCCAGGAGGAGCTTTTTGTGGCTGTGGAAATGCTCTCAGCCGTGGTCCTGATCAACCGTGCCCTGGAGGCAAGGGATGCCTCCGGCTTCTGGAGCAGTCTGATAAGCCCCGCCACTGGCCTGGCCGAAGTGGAAGGAGAAAATGCTCAACGGTGAGAGGGTCAACCGCATGCTGGGAGTGAGGGGCGGAGGGAATGTGGTCAAGACTTGTCCTGTGTAGACTTGCCTTTTGTGTGGTGGCCTCCCTCAGGGTCTGGTTACAGTTCCTTGGCCTATGTCTCTTCCCTGGAGTGAGGTAGATCCACAGTCATTCCCCTTTCCTCCACTGAGTCATTATTTCACAGAATATGTTTGAGTACCCAGCCATGTGCCAGATACTATTCTAGGTGCTGGGAAATGCAGGGAACAAAATAAATCCTGCCCTCATCAAACTTACTTTGAAGTAGAGTGAAACAGATGATTAGAAAAGCAGAAGAGCTCAGTGTGGTGGTACACACCTGTAATCCCAGCACTCTAGAAAGCTGAGGCAGGAGGATTTCAAGTTGAATCCCATCCTGAACAATTTAATGATTTAGCAAGCCCCTGTCTCAAAATAGAAAAGGACTGGGGATGTAGCTCAGTGTGAAGGCCCTGGGTTCAGTCCCCAGTACAGGGTGGGGGGTGAGGAAGCAGAAAAGCAATGTTGCCAAACAAAAGAGCAAGCGGTAAGGGGTGGGGACACGGGAGGGGCAGTTTTTCTCTTCATTGTGTCGCTGTGGGTGGCCTCCTGAGTAGGGAGATCATTTGGCCAAGGCTCTGAAAGACCTAAGGGTTCTTGGGCTGGAGGCCCCAGAAAGAGCATTGGGTGCATTTGAGAGACACCAGGAGGGACTAGGGCTGTCGCTCAGAGATAGAGCACTTGCCTAGCATGTATGAGGTCCTGGTTCAATCCTCAGCACCATAAAAAAATATCTAGAACTAAAGCTTGCTGGGTGTAGTGGTGCACACTGTAATCACAGCACTCTGGAGACTGAGGCAGGAGGATTGCCATGAGTTTGAGGCCAGCCTGGGATACATGGTCAGACCCTGTCTTAATCAGGGAGAGAGAGAGGGAGAGGGAGGACGGAGGGAAGGGAAGGGAAGAAGCCAAACATCAGGAAGCCGGGGTGGTGGAGTAGGGTGAGGCAGGGAGAGGAGTGGGAGATGAAGACAACAGCAGGGGCCAGGCTGTGGCTTTTTTATTCTGAGTGAGGAAGGAAGCCACCAGGGCTTTCAGGCAGAGGGAGCCAAGCTGACCTACTTTAACTGGATCGCCTGGCTGCTGTGCTGGGAAAGGGCTGCGAGGTTGGGTGGGGGAGAGGAGGCCTGCGCTCCCCACCAGAGCCTTCCCGGGCCATATAAGCAAGGCTTAGCTGGGCAAGGTGCGGCGTCGGCTGGGAGAGGTGTCGGCCTGTGGCTGTGCCCTGAGCACAGGAAAGCAGCGTTTGGTGTGGAGTGGTTAGGACTACAAGAGGGAAGGAGTCAGGTGTGACTCAGGTTTTGGGCAAGGGAGAGCAGAGGGTCCCATGGTTAATGGGGGGAAATCGGGAGCTCAGAGGTGAGCTATGGGGTTTCCAGTACTGCTTGGGTGTCCATCTGGAGACCCCTGGAGGCCACTGGGGTACATGACAGCTAGAGCTGTGCTTTGGAAAGCCTGAGATATATAAAGCCGGCTCAGTTGAGGTCAGCCAGGATGTGAGAATGCAGTGGAGTGGGCTGAAGCCCAGGATCAGGTGCTCCACTTAGAGGCCAGGAGGAGCCAGGCAGGAGGCTTGGGAAGGCAGCTGGTGAGAGACGTGCCCGTGAGTGTGCTGTCCTGGAGGTGTGCGAGGGGGTCAGCTGAAACACTGATTTCTGGCTGAGGGTGCATTGCCCCTCGCCTCACTCTTCTCTCCCCACTCCAGTTACTTTGATGCCCTGGTAGAGCTGCGTCATGTTCGTGGCATAGATGGGGCCTTCTTGAGCTGGAATGACCTGCAAGCCACCCTGAGCCAGGTCAACTCCCGGGTCCAGGAGGAAACCGACCGTGAGTGTGGTCAGGGGTTGGGGAAGACAGCTCCTTGGGCAGCCCTGCCCTTAGCCAGAAGGCTGGGACCCTGCCCACCTCGCTCTCTCTTCCTCAGAGGTCCTCGCTGTCAGCCTCATCAATGAGGCTCTGGACCAGGGCAGCTCAGAGAAGACTTTCTCTGCCCTGCTGCTTCCTGCGGCTGGCCTGGAAGATGTCAGCCTTCCTGTCGCTCCACGGTACCATTTCCTCCTAGTGGCAGCCAAAAGGCATAAGGCCCAGGTGAGCTGAGGCCTGGCTGGGTGGGCCACAGAGCAAGAGGAACACCCATTTGGGTAGAGCTCCAGCCTGAACGGCACAGCCACTTCCAGGGTTGGGCACAGGCCAGGTCCCAGTCCCCTGGAGGAAGCATGTATCCCATTGCCAGGGTACTGGACAGTGTGTGAACACAAGTGGGGAATCAAAGAACCAGCCTGGTCCCTACTCTGACCATGTATGGATCCCTTGATGCCTCTGAGCCCTGTGCACTCACCTATGATCCTGTGGTCCCTTTTTGAGCCCCTCCCGGAGGGAGAGTGATAATAAATGAGTTGGCGAATGGGGTGGGCTTTTGAGCTGAACCACCCTGAGCGTGTGGCAGTACAGCGTGGGTGAGAAGCAGAACCAGGGCTCCTGAGCCAGGCGATTTCTGTTTGTGTCCTGCACTCCGACCCTGCATTGATGTTTCTTACCTCCCAGTGCCTCAATCTCCTCACCTTCAAATGGTGACAATAGTGAGTTTATCTCATAGTTACAGGGCTAATGGAGATCCTGCGACAGGAGTGCTGCGTAACATTCATTGAGTTCTCATTCTACCAGGCATTGTTTTATAAGTGTTACAAACATTATAACAATGAATATAAAATGTTTTAGTCAGGTGTAGCAGTGTAATCCCAGCACTCAGGAGGCTGAGGCAGGAGAATCATTGAGAATTTGAGACCAGCCTGGGCTACAAAGTGAGCTCAAGGCCAGCCTGAACTGCATAGCAAGACCCTGTCTAAAACAGACAAAAATAATAATAATAACAAAGTGTCTTAGGCTGGCTGAAAGTATAGCTCAGTGGTAGAGCACTTGCCTAGCACATATAAGACCTTGGGTTTGATCCCTAGCATGGTAATTTCTTTTAAAAAGGAAAGAAGGAAGGAGAGCAAGCTTTAGTAAAGTGCCTGGTACATAGTCATTGCTCAATAAAATGTCACTTTACAAAGTCTGTTGCTAATGTGAGAATTGGGAGGAAGTCAGGTACAGGGTTGGGCATCATCCCGGCAGGGTGGCGGGCACAAGCATACTTGACCGTGTAATTGTCCTACTGCTTGTGGTCGAGGAGTATGGAGCAAGAACAGGAAGGAGAAGGCAAAGGTCAGGTCAGGCTCTAGCCATAGAGAAATGGGGAGCTGGGCAGGGAGGTGGGGCCTCCAGGGTGGGCCATCACAGCATGGCTGAGGCTCAAGGGCAGGGAGTAAAGCTGTTGAGCAAGTGGCAGGTACTGAGGGTGTGAGAAGCTACACAGAGTCCCTGTGCCAAGCTGAGCAGGTGCTTGGAACAGCCTGAATCGGGGTAGGCAGGACCCTTCTGTGCGTGGCAGCGACCCAGAGAAGCCATGCGGCCATCGCTGTGGCTCCCAGTGTCAGCCTGCAGTTTGATTCCCCGGGGCTGCTTGGCTTGGGAGCCTGGAGAGACCAGACAGCTGTCTTGTCTTTTTCCACCTCTTTCCGTTTGCCAGGTGACGGGGGATCGTGGAGCTGTGCTGTGGCTGGAGGAGATCCGCCAGGGAGTGCTCAGAGCTAACCAGGACACACACATGGCTCAGAGAAGTAAATGGTGGTCAGGGACACCGGGAGGGGAGGGGAGAGAAGGGGACATGGGCTCAGCCACAGCCCAGGTAGGCAGGCACCCCCACTCCACTGCTGTGTACTTACACCTCTGTGGGGAGACAGGCCAGAATCAGAACAGGAGGGCTGCTGCTGGGCCACAGGGTAGAACTGGAATTCTCAGGAGTCAAGAGCTGGGAGTCCAGGCTGATCCCTTCTGGGCCTTCCTCTGGGCCCTTTCCCTGCAGTGCAAGCGAGCGAGCACATGAGATCACACAGTGGCCAGAAACCCATCCTGTTTCTGCTGGTAGCTTGAGTTTGGGTCCAACGATTAGCTCTGGCTGGAGTGTTTGGTCTTAGGTGGGAGAAGGGTTGGGGTTCAAGGAGTGAGGAATGAGCAGGATCCATGCAGGCAGACCCTGGCTTGTGCGTGGGTGCCGAGGTGCTGGTTCTCAGGCCAGAGGGCAGGTGCTTCATCAGCCTCCTCTACTTCTTGCGCTGTCTTCTTCCAAGAAACTGTCCCAGTGTTCTCTACCCATATTCTGTTTTTAAGCTTCTGAAAAAGCCAGTTTTGCTCTCCCTGTGCCTCTGCTGACCTAGCCCACTGCGCCTCCCACAGAGGCCTCCCTTCCTGCCATCTCCTCTGAGCAGTGGCCAGCTGCCACCTAGGGACTCCGCCCGTCTCTTCCATGTGTCCCCTCTTCTGAAGCCTGCCCCATTAGAGAGACAGGCCCTATGGGAGTGACTCGAGGAAGGACTGACTGCTGTCTCCTGCTGCCTCTGTCAGTGGCCCTGGGTGTGGCTGCCATCAATCAGGCCATCAAGGAGGGCAAGGCAGCCCAGACAGAGCGGGTATTGAGGAACCCCGCCGTGGCCCTCCGAGGCTTGGTTCCTGACTGTGCCAGCAGCTACCAGCGGGCCCTGGAAGATGCTGCAGCAAAGAAGCAGTGTCCAGGTGATGCCCCAGCCAACCTTCCCCTCACCTCTCTTCTGCTGACCCCAGCTGCCTCTTGCCTCCAAACTTTCTCTGCTTCCTTGTTTTCTGCTCAGGGGACACAGCTTTGTGGGTTCAACACAACATGAAGGATGGCACTGCCTATTACCTCCATCTGCAGACTTTCCAGGGGACCTGGGAGCAACCCCCAGGCTGCCGCCTCAACACCTCCCACCTGACTCGAGAGGAGATCCAGGTTGGCCAGGCACCGTCCAGGGCAGGGATCATGGAGGGGGTCCCCCTGCAGGAGAGACTCCACCTACCCACCAGAGGAACACAGGCCCTGTCTCCTGTCTCCACAGTCCACTGTCACCAAGGTCACTGCTGCCCATGACCGTCAGCAGCTCTGGAAGGCCCATGTGGGCTTCATCGTCAGGCTCCAGGCCCGCCTCCGAGGCTGCCTTGTCCGCCAGAAGTTCGCTGAGAGGTCTCGCTTTCTGAGGACCACGCTCCCAGCAGTCATCAAGATCCAGGTGGCAGCTCTGGCTTTCTGAGTGCCACAGCGTCCACACTCTCCCTCCTCTCTAACAGGGCTGGGGTGATCTTTGGGCCTCTGCAGTCGTGGCAGGGAGCGTGGGATGTGGAGGTTCAAACCTAGGCTCCACCACCTCTTAGCTACATGATCTTGCAGGTTATTTTTTCTCTGCCCAAGTTTCTTCCTCTGAAAAACAGAAATACTAATAATAGCAGCCAGGTTGTTGTAGAGTTGTTAGGAGAGTTCAGGGAGGAAACCCTTGTGATCATCAGCAGTGCCTTGCTGGTAGGTAGATGTGACAGAAGTGCTAGTTACTGGCATTGTCAGCACTACCTAGAGTGAGCTGCTTCTCAGCGACAGCAGGTGGGCATCCTGGCTTGGATGGGAGTAAAGGGGAGGTGCTGGCAGTTGAGCAGAAAACGTGGGCTGCCCCTGGGGAGAGGAGTCTTCTACCTTTTTGTGCAGCCACTCTCTCCATTTCATCCTCTGGCCTGTGGATAGCCCGGTGTGGCCTCTAAGGCCAGCTGGACTGGAGATCAGCAGAGAATGTAGCCTGGGGATGCTATATAAGCTCTGAGTGACAGGAGACCTCCCCAGCAGGACAGTCTGCAAGCCCTTATGCAGATGCGAACAGTGTAAAGATACTTTATTTTTTTGTCTTTTTGAGACAGGGTCTCGCTGTGCAGTTCAGGCTGGCCTTGAGTTCACTTTGTAGCCCAGGCTGGCCTCGAACTCTCAGTGATCCTCCTCCCTCAGCCTCCCGAGTGCTGGGATTACAGGCGTGCACCACCACCCCTAGCATAAAGGTATTTATGAATCATCCTTGAGCTGGACATTGTGGCTTATGCTTGTAATCCCAGCACTTGGGAGGCTGAGGCAGAAAAACCCTTTAGAATTTGAGGCCAGCCTGGGCTACAAGGCAAGGCCCTCTCAAAACACCAAGCAAAACAATAACAACAGAAACAAGGGTGAAAAGTAAAATTAAAAAAAAAAAAGAACCATCCCTGAATGCCCAGTATCCACCAAGCATGCCACAGGGCACTGGGCACAGATCGGAGACGGGCATGAGACCCACAAGTGAGTGGCCACATCTCCTCCCTACGGGGCTGAAGTACAGTTGATGTTAGGTGTGGTGATGAGTAGAGACACAACAACAACACCCGCGGACCTCAAGGGAGACAGATGTCCAGCCTGAGACTGGCTGATGGCTCTTGATTATGACCTATACCTGCAGTGGTAATTGAGAGCTCCCAGGCAGGAGTTTGCCTCCTGATCCTACCACTTCCAGGTCACATGACCTTGTTACTTTACTTGGGCCCCTCCAGCACTCAGTTTTCTCATCCATGATGATGGTACTCCTCACCTGTGTTGATTGTAAGGATTAAATAGGACATGTAGAATCCCCATGGTAATGGTGGTGACCATTAGGAGATATGTTATCAGAGCACTGGTCCCAGGACCCAGTAGAGAACTGTAATCTGCCTGTGGTAATGTGAGTCATAAGGACCCCACCCTCCTGAGCCCAAGTTGGAATTTCACACCAGGGAGATGAAAAACCACACAATAGGAGGGGAGGGGATGGAGTCAGAGGAATATTTGTCACTCATACTGGAGCTATGTGGGTTCTGGCCTAGGTCCCGGGATAGAAAGGTTGAGGGAGGGAGGTAGTAGAGAGCCTCAGGCCATTTGCCCCCAGCTATGGGGAAATAAGACTCAGAAATGAGGTTGCCTGGGCATGCCTGAGACTAATCTCTCCTGAAAGCTCTAACCCTAGCTGGAACCCCAATCATGGTTCTAAATTCTGGCTAATCCAGATTGGCAGGTGGTTTTTTTTGTTTTGTTTTTTGTTTTCTTTCCCTTTTTGGACAGTGTTTCACTATGTAGTTCAGGCTGGCCTTGAGTTCCTGTTGTAGCCTAGGCTGGTCTTGTACTCACAGCAATCCTCTTGCCTCAGCCTCCCAAGTGCTGTGATTACAGACCTGCACCACCATGTCCAGCAGGTGTATCATTTTTGTTTGGCAGTGTTGATGATGGAACCTAGGCCCCCTGTCAGGCTAGACAAGTGCTTTAGCACTGAGCTATACCCCTAGCCACTGAGGCATATTTTTAAGAAACCTTGTAGGGGCCGGTTAGGGGATAACGGCAGATAGCAGGCCCTTCTACTGTGTCCTACAGCACTTTCCAGAGGGTACAGTAGGCTGCAGGTGGTGGTAGGGGCAGGAATGTTGAGGGCCAGCGTGAATGGCCTCCTTGTGTACAGCTGGAGTATGGGCCAAGGTACCTCTTCTACATCCTGTCCCACAGGACTGAGTGAGCCTTGGGCAGAACCCTGGCCAGAACTGGCTGTAGAAAGGCAGGGGAGATGAGGTAAAAGGACATTCTTCAATCTGACCAAATGGCGACTGTCCGTGTGGCGTGGCCTCCTGGCCCGTGCACTGGGAGATGTTTGGCGTGGTTCCTAAAACCCAGGGTTTCAGTAAGTATAGTTAGGGCTGGGGACTAGAGCTCCATAGACAAAAGTTCAGGAACAGAATGGCCTAAGGCTTGTAGAGAAGAAAGTGAAATGCCTGACATGGCCAGAATCCTTAAGGTGGGGACCACTGGAAAGTTATGCGTGGAGTACAGGTAAGATGGTCAAGAGCTGGAAGGTGTGGGCTGAGGGAGGTACTGTCCAATAAGTTTTCTTTGAGACAGAGTCATACTATATAGCGTTCAGGCTGGCCTTGAACTTACTAGGTAGCCCAGGGTGATCCTCTTGCTTCAGCCTCCTGAGTCCTGGGATTACAGGCGTCATATGTCACCATGCACTGGCCAGGCAGTACTTTAGAAAAAGTAATCTCACGTGAGCTTGGGGTGAAAGGGAAGAGGTTCCCAGGAAGGGGACAAGAGGAGGGAGACATGATCTGTGTCTTTTGGAGCCAGAGGAGGGTGATTCAGGACAGGCGGAGCGCGTTGGGTTGTGTCGGGTTGCACTTTTTGCAGCAGCCCAGCAGGGGAGGCCAGCAGGCTGATAGCTGAATTCTGGGTACCTTGGTGGGAAGGTTTTCTGAAAGCTGGAGTCAAGAGCGGGTGGTGCCACTGCAAAGAAGTGTGATGAGGGACCCCTGGAGGCGGCCGCCCAGGTGGCAGTGGACAGAGATGGACAGAGGCTCTGCGCCTGTGCATTCCCGGCTCCGTGACCACACAGAGTATGCGATGGGCTGTGGGCGGCTGCACATGGGTGTCAGAGTGTATTTTGGGGGGATATGGCACATGCTTTGGTGAAGGTGGTGAGTAGGTGTGTGCTCTATTTATAGCTGTTAGGCCTGCATCTAGCTGTCATGTTTCCATGAGGCAGTGTTGGTAAGGTTGTGTGTGTGTCTGCTGGCACCAGGGAGTGTGGCAGAGGGCACGAGCCGCCATGTGGTCTTCCCCATGAAGCTGGAAAGTTTTGAGAACAGGGCCAGTTTTCCCTCCTACTTCCTCCCACCATCCCCTGAGAGCCCAGAACAAAGCCGTTCCCACAGGCCTCTTAAGCAAAGGAGACCCCGCCTAGGGTTGCCTCTATTTTCTCTTCTGTTCTCCAGGCTCATTGGCGGGGTTATAGACAGCGGAAGACTTACCTGGAGCGATTGCAATATTTTAAAACCAACCTGGATGCCATAATCAAGGTAGCTGTGATAATTTGTGGGGGGGGAATGGTCCTTGTCCCTTGAATCCTCTCACCTCATGTCACCTCTGGGACTGGCTGAATTGGCTGGGTCTCAATTTGGGTCTCCAGCTTGGAGCTCTGAGCCAGTGTCTTTCCTCCCAGATCCAGGCCTGGGCCCGGATGTGGACAGCTCAAAGACGGTACCTAAGACGACTACGCTACTTCCAGAGGAATGTGAGTGTCATCCTATCTCCCTGCCCCTGCTTAGGCTTTACCCATAAGACCAGAACAAGGGTGGCCAGCAGGTTGTTCATGGCAGGTTGACTCTGTGGTGAAGATCCAGGCGTTTTTCCGAGCCAGGAAAGTCCGGGATGACTACAGGATGTTAGGTGAGCTGTCTCAGCTGACCCTGCCCCTGTGCAGGGGGGAACTAGGACCCCCCAGGTCTGAAGCATCTGGTATTCCTCCTTGGAATACACAGTGGGCAGGGAGAAGGCATGGTGTCTATAGGAACTGGAACAATTTCTCACATCCTACCCTCCTGATTGGAGCTTGTGTGCAGCAGCCAGGGCTGAGTGGAGGCTGATGGTGAGGAGAGAGGCTGTGGGGCAGGTCATCCCAGCAGGAGGGGCGTGGTGGGGACAAGGCCACCTTAGGAAGGGCCTCAGAGGCTTGGGTGTGGGAGGTCAATGGGGGAGGCCCAGGCTGGGGGTACATCTGTATCATATCAGTCACAAGATGTCGTCCCTGCTCAGGGACAGGCCTGGCTGGGAGGCTGCAAGCAGAACTAGTTAGAAGAGCCTGGGTCTGGGAGCCAAAGGCTGCAGGGGGCCGACCCGCAGTGGGAACCAGTGAGGAGTTCTCTGGCATGACACACCGGTCCCACACACTGTCCTTCCTACCAGTACACGCTGCCCACCCTCCCCTCAGCGTGGTGCGCAGGTTCACCCACCTCCTGAACCAAAGCCAGCAAGATTTCTCAGCTGAGGCAGAGCTGCTGAAACTGCAGGAAGAGGTGGTCAGGAAGATTCGCTCCAACCAGCAGCTGGAGCAGGACCTCAACCTCATGGACATCAAGATTGGCCTGCTGGTAAAGAACCGCATCACGCTGCAGGTGAGGGTCGAGCTCCTGTGCAGCGGGTGCTCACTGTTCTCGTATTGCTAATGAACTCGTAAGGCCGGTGGGTTTTATCATGCTCATCCTTGCAGCAGTGGCCCTCTGACCTTTTGAGATACTAGGAAGAACCCTGGAGGCAGAACTGTAGGGCCTGGCTGTGCTGATTCCTGAGGACAGGCTATGGGTGGTCTTTTAACCTCTAAATTTGTTTCCTGTTTAACAAACTAGGATGAGCCAGGCCTGGTGGCTCACACTTATAATCCCAACACTTGGGAGGCTGAGGTAGAAGGATCGCTGTGAGTTCAGGCCAGTCTGGGCTACATAAGCAAGTTCAAGGACAGCCTGAACTATATAGCAAGACCCTGTCTCTCCGCCCCCCGCCAAAAAAAAACAAATAGAATGAGAGTGTCTATCTGCAGGCCAAATGCAGAGATCAATGTGGACTTCCAAATCCTTAAATTACACATAAGCATGTAATGACAGAGTGACATCTCCACCTCAAATGTGTATACTAATAATCTAATAAATAATAGCAAAAAGGTAATATTCACAATCTCTCAGCTTGAACACAGTCATCTTTAAGGGCTCACTGTATGAGAGCAGAGGTGACAGATGGAGGCTCAGGGTAATAAAGGGGCTCTCTCACCCCCAAACCATTGCTCTCCTCTGGCTCAGTCCCGTTCTCTGGACAACAGAAAGCCCAGGCACAGGTTCTATACCATATGCTCTGAGCTTGGCCCAGCCCGGCCTGGTTGTGTGCCCCACGGCCCCGCAGGAGGTGGTCTCCCACTGCAAGAAGCTGACCAAGAAGAACAAGGAACAGCTGTCTGACATGATGGTTCTGGACAAGCAGAAGGGATTAAAGTCGCTGAGTAAAGAGAAACGGCAGAAACTAGAAGCTTACCAACACCTCTTCTACCTGCTCCAGGTGAGCAGAGGGCTCTGGAAGGAGAAACCATCCACCCAAAGGCCTGGGACTTTTGCAGCTTTTTCTTTGACCTTTGCCCTCCTACATGAGGTCCTTTCCCATAATCCTAATACCCTATCCCTAGGGAAGAGCTTCCCTCTTCTCCTGGAATGTCCCCAGGGCCCCAAGAAGGCGTGATAATGCTTTCCATGCCCCAAGTTTTCACCAGGAAAGTCTTTCCTCATTCGGTCACTGGTCCTTGAGGCGTATGCTCAGCCCTTCCTGTCCCCTGTTGCTCGCAGACTCAGCCCATCTACCTGGCCAAGCTCATCTTCCAGATGCCACAGAACAAAACCACCAAGTTCATGGAGGCAGTGATCTTCAGTCTGTATAACTACGCCTCCAACCTCCGGGAGGCCTACCTTCTGCTCCAGCTTTTCAAGACGGCACTTCAGGAGGAGATTGAGTGGGTTCTCCCAAGCACAGGAGTGGGAAGGGTGGGCTGAGAGGCCCCTGTGTCTACTTCACAAGGTGACATTCATTGAGGTTCAAGGTAGACTGGCCTCCTGGGGAGAGACTGTAAGATAGTTCTACACAGCACGATGAGCTGGCATGTTAGCAGAAAGGATGAGACAGAGATGGTGGGACATTCCCTAACAGGAACTCCAAAATCATTCAAAGGAAAAGCAACTACCTATCCTACCAGAGACATGAAACTAGTTTCCCTGACCTCTTGAACCACAGGTCAAAGGTGGAGCACCCCCAGGACGTGGTGACAGGCAACCCAACTGTGGTGAGGCTGGTGGTGAGATTCTACCGTAATGAGAGGGGACAGAGTGCCCTGCGGGAGATCCTGGGCAAGGTTATCCAGGACGTGCTGGAGGACAAAGTGCTCAGTGTCCACACTGACCCTGTCCACATCTATAAGAGCTGGATCAACCAGACTGAAGCCCAGACAGGGCAGCGCAGGTGAGCAGACTGGCAGAGGGAAAGTGCCCTGATCAGCTTGGCGGGCCTCACTGGGAAGCTTGGGGGTGCTTGAAGGTGACCTGTAAATGAGCATGCTGATTTATGCAAATATGACACCAGCTCTACAGGAGTAAATAAGGTAGCCTTTCAGACCCCCTCTAGCAATTACCAGGGAACTGATGTAAGTGACTCCAGACCTGGTGGGCTTAACATAAGATGAGCGCAGATGAATATGCAAATGTGCTTAATTGCTGTGTCAGGGATTGCAAATGGCATGCCTAGTATGTGGGGAATTGGGATGTAAGCTCCTTATTGAGAAGGGGTGCAGATGAATGTTCAGATTTACAGATAAATAGATGAGTAAGATAATGGGAGAGTGGCTGGCCTTGAAGGTCAGGGGCATTGTCAGGTTCATGGGTATTCGGGAAATCGAGCCACTGAGGAGACCTAGTGGTCCTGATGGCTGCTCTGGAGGGCATAAGAGGCTTTAGCCAGGGGAAATAAAGGCATCAGCTTTCTTATAGTCCCAACTGTGAAGGACTATGTGACCAGCAGCCTCTGGTCTCTTCCCATTCCCCTTTGGCATCCCTGCACAGATACTGGGTTCTGCACTTCTTCCTATACACTCTGGCCTCCCTGCGGGGACTCCAGCTCTTTCTCCCTTGCCTTCTACCCCTTCCTCCTCCTCGAGCCCGTTCTCTTTATCTTGGCCTTCCCCTTAGCATGCTGGCTGACCTGACAGGTCTGTGTGAGTCCGCTGTCAGAGAAGAGTTTAAGGGGACAGGTCTGGGAAGAAAGGGGACAGAATAGCCTCCAGCCTCACCTTGTCTTTCCTACCACAGCCATCTCCCCTATGACGTCACTCCTGAGCAGGCCTTGAGCCACCCTGAAGTGCAGAGACGCCTGGACATCTCCCTGCGTAACCTCCTTGCTGTGACTGAGAAGTTCCTTGTGGCCATCACTTCATCTGTGGACCAAATTCCGTATGTGTGACAGCCTGGCATAGCCTGGGCATGGGCTGTGAAGAGGGGCAGGTGGGAGGGGGCGTGGAGCAGCAGGTGCTCTGAGGAGTTTCAGGAGCCATGAGAAGGCTAGATCCCCTGCTAGGGAGTGGAGCTAGGATGCAGTGAGCAGGACTGTTTGTGTCCCAGCAGTATGTCACCAGTGCCAAAGGAAGGAACTTGGAATGATGATGGGGACATATTGTCTGAGAGCAAATGGTAAAATGGAACTCTTTGGTCCAGTCAGAAATAAGAAATACTTCAAACCCATGAAGCATGTTATAATTCTCTCCCTTCTTAAAATGTAGTCAGTAGTTTTTGGTAAACTTTGTGAGGCATGGCAGTACACACTTATGCTCCCAGCAAGGCATGGTAGTACACACTTATTATCCCAGCATTTGGGAGGCTGAGGCAAGAGGATTGCAAATTTGAGGCCAGGCTGGGTTACACAGTGAGACCCTGTCTCAAATACAAAACCATAGCCAGGCATGGTGGCGCACGCCTGTAATCCCAGCATTTGGGAGGCTGAGGCAGGAGGATCGTTGCGAGTTTGAGACAGCCTGGGCTACAAAGTGAGCTCAAGGCCAGCCTGAACTGCATAGTGAGACCCTGTCTCATAAATAAATAAATAAATAAATAAATAAATAAATAAATAAATAAATAAATAAATAAATAAATGGCAGGGTCCTGTCCCTAGTACTGATCCAGGCAGGAGGAAGGGACAAGGCCCAGAGTGCTTGGCAGCAAAGGAACAGTGCTTTGGGTCAACTCTGAGGTGGCTGAGGCCAGGAAGGAGAAGCAGCTAGTCACTCACGCCTTGAGCCCTGGGACAGAGCTTTGTTCCCAGGTATGGGATGCGATATGTGGCCAAAGTCCTGAAGACAGCCCTGGCAGAGAAGTTCCCTGATGCCACAGAGAGCGAGGTCTACAAGGCAAGTGCCGTCTCCCTTCCACCACCTCACGAGCCCTCCTTTGCATTGCTGGTGTCTGTGATCCCTGGGAGACAAATGGCAGGAAGCCCATGCTGTCCATGCTGCGGGGGGTGCGGGGGGGGGGGGTTCCATATAAATCGAGCCCAGTCTACCAGCAGGCCTTTGGGTAACAGGAGAAATGGCAGCTGGTGTGTGAGTGACCAGGTGGACAGCCCTGGGCTTCCTGTCAAGGAGGTCTGGGTTCCAGTCCCCACTCTTGCGGCTGGGGATTTAGCTCAGTGGCACAGCGCCTGCCTGGCAAGCGCAAGGTTGTGAGTTCGATTCCCGGTGCCGGAAAAAAAGAAAAGCACCAAAAAAAAAAAAACCAACTCCAGTCCCCACTCTTGCTCAAGTGTGCTGTGTGATCTTGGCAAGTTGCCCACCTGCTGTGGGTCTCTGTTCTCTGTGAAGTGTGGAGATGGGCCCACGTGGGCCTTCAGTGTGAGAGCTGGCACCCTGGGGCCACAGCTATCAGGGTGGCCTCTGGGAGTCTCCTGTGTCCTCAGGTGGTAGGGAACCTCCTGTACTACCGTTTCCTGAACCCGGCTGTGGTGGCTCCAGACGCCTTCGATATTGTGGCCATTGCAGCGGGCGGCACCCTGGCTGCCCCCCAGCGCCACACCCTGGGGGCTGTGGCTCAGCTCCTGCAGCACGCAGCGGCCGGCAAGACTTTCTCTGGGGAGAGCCGGCACCTGCGGGTCCTGAACGACTACCTGGAGGAGACGCATGTCAAGTTCAGGTCGTGGGTCTCGGCGTCCCATGCCTCCATCCCTTTCTCTCAGCTTTTCCCCCAGGATGCGTGAGAATGAGAGGCCCAGGGGAAGCGCATGAGCAGGCTGGGGGACAGGTTGGGGTGGCCTCCCAAGAGGAGGGGCTGGCTTACACAGGACTGGTACAAAGTGGGACAGGAGCTGAGACTGAGTCAGACTGGCTTGAGCAGTCACTAGAGAAGCCAAGAAGGGCTGGCAAGGACAGAACACAGCAGGGTGCCGTCCTGCCCACTCACAGGCCCTTTCTCTGGGGACAGGAAGTTCATCTACAGAGCCTGCCAGGTACCAGAGCCAGAGGAGCGTTTTGCGATGGACGAGTACTCAGACATGGTGGCTGTGGCCAAGCCTGTGGTGTACATCACCGTGGGGGAGCTGATTAACACGCACAGGGTGAGGGGCTGCAACCTGGCAGGCGCTGGCAAGATGGGGCAGGGAGGTGGCCACAGCTGGGAGGAAGCCTGGCTCGGCCCCTGCAGCCGCTTTCTCTCCTCTGTCTCAGTTGCTGCTGGAGCACCAGGACTGGATCGCCCCCGATCCCCAGGACCCCCTGCACCAGCTCCTGGAGGACCTCGGGGAGCTTCCCACCATCTCTGACCTCCTTGGTACATACTGCTCCATGCCAGCTGTGCTGAGAGAGAGACAGTCACACAGGTGGTCAGGGCGCAAGAACACGCCCACACGGCCTGGCTCCCTCCCACATGCTCTTGCTCTTGAGATAGACACAAGCCTGTGGGCTAAGGAGAGGGTGGGCAGGCAGCAGAGGGACTGGTACCATCGTGTCGGTGGCACAGTAGGTCATGTGCGGGAGAAGTGGAGGGACAGGCCCTGGTGGGGGTCCCCTGTGTTTCTCGGCTGAGGAGGATTTCAGGGCTGTGGAGTGGGAAGCCTGGCTTACAGTGATGCCAGGACCCCAACACACGCACACAGACAGGGCTGAGCGTGGGGGGCACATCCGCAGCAAGGCGAGTGTTGTGCGGGTGTTGAGGGTTGGGAGCCTGGTGAGGCACCCAGGGCAGTGTGGGAAGCCTTCCTGGAAGGGAGGTGCACCTCTGTGTACATGCACACACGTCCCTGTCCCTCTCATTCCTCACCCCTCCTCAGGGGAGAGCATAGCTGCAGATGGGCATCCGGACCTGAGCAAGCTCGAAGTGTCCCTGACACTCGTCAACAAGTTCGAAGGACTAGGGGCAGACGCTGATGACGCCAATACCCAGAGCCTGCTTCTAAGGTGGGTGGGCCTGTGCCCCCTCTGAGTGCCCAGCCCTGGGCCAGTCCAGTGGTCCGCTCTGAGGGCACCTTTTCACTTTTTTGTTGGGCCCCTTGTCCTTCAGCAAGTGCTCCATGCAGCTCATTTCACCTTCCCCTTCCTGGAGCCTGGGCTCTGGGCATGGTGTGACCACAGCGAACAAAGGGGTGGTTCCTGGTAGTGGGTGGTTTCCATGCACTGCTTACCGCATGCTTCTTACCTTAGCTACTCATCCTTAACTTCAGGAACCAAGGTTGGGAATGGGTCCCTGAGCACAGCAGAGGACAGACTCTGAGCAATGGCAAAACTCCTCCAAGGCCCTGCAGCTAGGTAGGGGTGGTGGGGCTCAGTCCTAATCCCCCCACAGGCTTCTCTGCAGAAGTGAGGCAGGACCCCAGATAGGGCTGACCTGGGCTGGTCATCTTGGCAAAAGAGGAGCCGAGTCACCAGCTCCGCCGCCTTGCCAACAAGGCAGGGTAGGGCTGGGATAGCCACGTGGCCAGAGAGCCCCAGGAGGAAGGCAATGTCAGATGCAGTGGGAGTTCCTACAAGGGGACACCTGGGCTAACAGGAGTGTGTACCTCAGCTGAAGGACTCAGAGGAAGACAGTTCGAGGACAAGGTATTTTAGACACGGTACCTGCCCAGCCCTTCCTCTCCTGTTTCCCCGCATCTGTGGCAGCTGGGACATGTGGCAAGGTCTGCCCACCCTCAGATCTCTGGCCAACCCACAGCTAGACCTTTCCCTGCCCCTCTCCTCCCGCCTACTGCTCTCTCCTGCAGCACCAAGCAGATGCTGGCTGATCTCATACAGTTCCACCCTGGGGAATCCCTGGAGGAGATCCTGTCCCTCTCAGCTCCCAGGGAGCAGGTGAGTGGCTGGCCAGCCCACAGCTCTGTCTTATCACCCCTGCACTGCTGCTTCCCTCGCGGTGTGCCACAACAGACCTGGGCTCTACAAAAATGGGTTGTGGGGGCCACGCTGCTGCCATCACCCCAGCAGCCTCAGTGTACCCAGGCTGCAGTGCTATGAACCTGCCTCCCTCCTGAAGTGACAGCTTCTGGGTCTGCCACAGAGCGGTGTGGGTGGCCACCTTGAGGAGCACAGGGCACCTTTCCCTTCAGAAAGGGGGAGACCTGCTTGAGGCCTGGAGGCAAGAGAAGGTGGGAAGCGGCTGAGGAACCAGGGGCTTCCCAGAGACAAGGTGGAGATGGCCAGCAGAGAGAGGCATGTCCTGAAACCCAGGTCAGGGAGGAAGTGCCACACACCCTGGAGCCACCACAGAGCTCCAGTGTTGGGAAGTCACAGTCTGCATCTGCCCAGGACCTGTGGCTGTTGTTTGAGTCTCGTTTGGCCTCCGGTACTCACTGCAATCTATGATGTCACACCTTGATCTGCCAGCCACACTCTCCCCTGCCACCATCCTGCAGAAGCTAAGCCCTGAGGACACTTTCCCAGTGACACCCAGCAAAGCACACAGAGCTCCCCTGGGCCTGCCCCGGTTTGAGGGCACAGTGGTAGGACCCAGTGGGCCCTCTCCAGCATCTCTGCCCCATAGGAAGCAGCCCACAAGCGACTGATGTGCCAGCGACAGGCCTGTGAGGCTCGGACCCCGGAACCACTGCGACGACACCGCTCGCTGACGGCTCACTCCCTCCTGCCACTGGCAGAGAAACAACGGCGTGTCCTGCGGAACCTGCGCAAGCTCCAGAGCCTGGGCTTGGTCAGTGCCAGCGACGGCTACCAGGCGCTAGTAGACGAGCTGGCCAAGGTAATGGCCTGGGTCCTGTGTGCCTGCTGCATGTGTGTGCGGGCCCGTGTGCACACTTCGGGGTCATTGTGTTAGCATTAATAAGGGCAGGCCTCTCCTTGGTGGGTGAGTCCCAGCCAGAGGAAGGCTGAGGGTGCTCTTGGAAGGAAAGCGCCTTTGTGGAAAGAGAGGTCCTGAAGATCTGCCTTGTGAGTCTGGTGTGGCAGCCTTGAGATGCCATTCTCCCAGAGGAAGCTGCCTCTTCCTGTGTTCCCAAACATCCTCACAGTGGCTGGCCCAGGGCTCTCTGGCCAGGAAGGACCCACCTGACACCGCCCCCCTCCAACCTCCAGGACATCCGCAATCAGCGCAGGCGCCGGCAGCGGCGGAAGGCAGAGCTGGTAAAGCTGCAGGCCACTTTCCAGGGCCTGAGTGCTAAGACGACCTTCTATGAGGAGCAGGGTGACTACTACAGCCAGTACATCCGGTCCTGCCTGGACCACCTGGCCCCCAGCTCCAAGTAGGTGACCTGGGACCTCTCACCCCAGCACAGCACGCTCCCTCCTGATTTCTGTGTGTGAGGCTCACTCCCAAAGTCTGGGCTCAAGCTCAGTCCCCTTCTCTGTCCTCCCCTGGTGAGGAACTCCCTCGGGGCCTGGCTTCCTTCCTGTCAGCCATGGAGAACAAGTGTCTTTGGTGGTGCAGAGCTTGAGGATGAATTCTCTGGGGCTTCTTTCACTCAGGAGTTCTGGGAAGGGGAAGAAGCAGCCATCCCTGCATTACACTGCCGCCCAGCTACTGGAGAAGGGTGTCTTGCTGGAAATTGAAGATCTCCCTGCCTCTCAGTATGTAGGGGGAGCAACACTGGGGTGGAGCTCTGGGGCATGGCGTAGAGGGAAGGAGCAGCACAGTCTCTGCCTTGAAGGAGCTACTAGAGAGAGGATGGAGAGCAGAGAGTGAAGGACAACAGAAATGGTCTAGTGCAGTTCTGGAAAGCTGGAAAAGCTCCCTGGAAGTGCGAACAGTTGGGTAGGGCCAGTGTACTGAGCGAGACAGTGTAGGCCTATAGCCCTAACACTGAAGGAGGCTGAAGCAGGAGGGCCACAAGTCCTACCTGGGCAACTTAGCAATACCCTATCTCAAAAAGGGTTGGCGCTGGCTGTAGCTCAGTGGTAGCTTGCACCTGGGTCTGATCCCCAGGACAGAGAGGAGAGGTGGGGAAGTCGGGAGAGGACAGAGCACTAGGGGCTGGGCTCCTGGGAAGGACAGGGAAGGGAAGCTGGGCTGTGGAGGAGACACACCGCTGCCAGACTGAGGAGGAGCAAGAGCAGGGCCGTGACCTGGGAAGAGGTGGTGGACCCCGTTGGATTCTGTTCCTTACAGCTTCAGGAACGTCATCTTTGACATCACCCCTGGAGATGAGGCAGGAAAGTTTGAAGTAAATGCCAAATTCCTGGGCGTGGACATGGAGCGATTTCAGCTTCACTATCAGGTGAGGGGATCCCCCATGAGCCCTGGAGCACTGCTGGGTCAGGCCTCGCCTAGAGAGTGTCTGGCCTGGCTTCACTGGTATGGCTGGGTGTCCCTTGGGGACCCCCTGCTGGCCTGACCAGCCCATCCCAACAGCGTGGGGGGTACACAGCAGGCTGGTGGTGTGGGCACAGGATTAACATCTGAAGCACTGTCGCAGTCAGGGCTTCTCCCCTGTTACCTCGCTTAATCCCCTGCAGCCCGGAAACATTATTCTGTGTTACTGGCTCTGAGGCGAAAGGTTAAGCAGCCAGCCTAAGTCAGAGCAGTGTTCAGGGAAGCCGTGATTTTAAATCCAAATCATTCTGCTCTACTGTTTTGCCTTTTGAGTGAGGAACTCTGCTTGAGTTGTCCGAATCGCTGTCCTGTCCTTCTTGTTTTCCTCATGGGTGAAAAGGGTTTTCAGGACCGCAGCCCCGGGGACTGGCAGGTTCCATGACGCTTGGGAGTTGGAGGCCTGACTGGGCCCCAGCTAGAACTTTTCAGCCCCTCCTGTCCCTTCCCCCCTCAGGACCTCCTGCAGCTCCAGTATGAGGGTGTCGCCGTCATGAAGCTGTTCAACAAGGCCAAAGTCAACGTCAACCTCCTCATCTTCCTCCTCAACAAGAAGTTCTTGCGGAAATGACAGGCAGCGGCTGCCAGCCAAGGCCCCCAAGTCCTTACTTGTGCTCTGCTTTAACACTAGCTCATGACTCCGCTTGCCTGCAGACACCGGAGCTCAGCATGTGCCGCCCTCACGGATCTCACCCCATCCCCAGCTGGAAGGGGTTGCCTGTCTGGCCACGGGACGTCCAGCTTCTCTTGGGTAGACGTTGCTCTACGTCCAGCCGTGGCTTTTCTGCACCACACAAGCACTCAAGTCTCCCAGCCAGGGGAGCATAACTCACATCTGCGCTTCACCTAGGAAAGCTGTTGCTCCGTGTCTGGTACTGCCCTCCCACGGCCCCCCCGGGATGACAAGCACTGCCCCAGTGGCCTGGTTCCCTTCGACCCTCCTTCTCTCTGTGGACTCCCAGAGCCAGTGCCAGGCTCCCTGCCCCAGCTCCCCCTTCATCCCAGTGGGTGTCTGGGCCCTGCTGAAGCCCAGGCCACTCCTAGCCCCCCACCCTCACCCTGGCAGGAATCAAGTACAGAGCGTATTGATGCCCATGTGGCCCTGGCTCCACTGTCCTCCCGTGAAGCTCAAAGCTCATTTCCTTTTTTATTGTCTGTTCTATTTGTGGGCCACTAGGATATTTATTCTGTCTCTCACCCCTGTATTCCAGGTCATTGTACAGCCTTAATCATGGTTTTGATTGTTCCATTTTTTTAGCTCAAAGAAAGTTCTCAATTCCCTTTTTCAAACTAATATCCATGCCTATCTTCCCTACCTTGTATTAAAGTCACCTTGAATGGTGGCACATACCTACAATCCCAGTGCCTCAGGAGGCTGAGGCAGGAGGATCATAGGTTCTACAGCAGCCTGGGCAATTTAGTGAGATCTTATGTCAAAATAAAAAATTTTAGAAAGGGCTGGGAAGGTGGCCTAGTGGTAGTATACATGCCTAGCATGTGTGAGGCACTGGGTTCCATCTCCAGCACCAAAAAATAATAAAAGAATGAAGACCCTTAGGTGAGGGCAATAGAATTTCCATTGTGTTTAAGAGCTCTTTATCTCAACTTCCTACAGGGCAGAGAGCAGTCTCTCCCGTTCTCACTGACAGGACCTTTGGGCCTCAGAGCTGCTCTCCCAGCAGTCACTTTGAGATCTGTCCTGCCTCGGCCACCGTCTCTGTCCACCCCATGTCTTCCAGCTTCCTGTTGCCCTCTGATTTCATCTTAATAAAAGTAGATGTTCCCCCCACATCTGTCAGTTGCCTGTATTTCACCTACCATAGAGCAGGCTTCAAGTTCACACAGTTTCCCTACAGAAGGGGGGACCCTTCCTGCAGCCCCTGCAAGCTCGGGGTGAGCCCACTCTCTGCCTGCAGCAGTTGGGAAAAGCTTAATGAGATGGGGCATTTATTCCTCTTTTCCCTCCCTCAGGGGATGAAGAGGAAGGAGGAATGCTTGAGTTTCAATTCTGTTTTTATCAGCCACTCTGAAGACCAAGGCAGAGCACGGTAATCAGGCCTCTGCCCCACCCATTTGCACACCGTTCCTGAGTCTGGGTGACAGCACAAAGGTGCCTGCGTTGAGGCTTCTTAGGAACTGTGGGCTCTGCTCTGAGCACTAGGCCCTCTCCTGGGAGAAAGCACCTCCCTCCCCCTCTCAGGGAGCAGAGGGCCATGGGGAGGGGACAGTGTGACAGACACCTGCCTTGACATCTGAACTCCCAAGCAGCCAGATTGGGCCCCACCGTGCTCCTGGCACAGCCTACTCCCTCCACTCTGTTCCCTCTGTCACTCAGGGTCTGTCTTGCTGTCACATTCAATCTCAGTCACAGCTTCCCCCCTTAACATGTCACAGCAAAGACTTCAAGCGCTGCCTTGCTCTGGGTGACAGTGACACATACCAGTGGGTCCTGGTTTCTACATGTGCTCAGTCATTAAAAATCTCGCACCCACCAAGCAGTTCCCACACTGGGATGCTTCCCACAGTCACATGCGCTCAGCCACACGTCCACACACACAAGTGTCACGAAAGCTGCCGTTACTGGGCCGTCATGGGCTGGGACACTTCAGCATTTAACGCTTGCAGTAAAGATAAGTGGCCACCATCTTTGTTTAACAGATGATGAGTGTTTAGAGGCTTGGATAACTGCCTGTGCTTAGCTGGTAAGAGAAAGAACAAGGCTTTAAATTCAGGCCCAAACTGGGTGTGGTGGGTCACACGTGATCCTAGCACTCTGGGCAAGGTTAAAGTGAGAGGCTCCCAGCCTGGGCAACTCCAAGATCTGATCTCAGAAAACTTTGCTGTTTTTGTTTTGCTTGGGGGTGGGGTGGTGGTTGTTTTTTGAAATAGGGTCTCACCATTTAGTGCAGGCTGGTCTTAAACATTTATGTAGCCCAAGGTGGCCTTGAATTTGAGGCAGTCCTCCCGCCTCAGCTTCCTAAGTGCTGGGATTACAGGCATGCACCACCATACCAGGCTCAAAAAACTTTTTTAAAGGCTGGGGAGGTACTTCAGCAAGCACTGGGTTCAATTACTTGCACCACAAACAAAAGACAGATACAGTCAGGCCTGGTGGTGTACACCTATAATCACATCTACTTTGAAGCTGAGGCAGGAGGATGGCAATTCAGGTTTCTATGAGAAATTTAGCATGGCTATCTCAAAATTTAAAGATGAGGGAGGCCTGGGAATATAGCTAAGCACCAGAACTCTCGCCCAGCACATGTGAGGTCCTGGGGTCAAATCCCCAATATTTAAAAAGAAAACAGACACACATGATTTCTTGACTTCAGATTGGGCAATAACACTAGAGACCAAAAGCACAAGTAACAAAATAAAATAAATAAATAAATTGGCTTCATCAAAACTAAAATTTGTGGGAATAAAGTTTGAAACAAAGATTAATAAAATTCTTTGCTGCTGGGTTTGCACTCCTATAATCCCAGGTCTTGGAGGCTGAGGCAGGAAGATTGCCTTGAGTTCAAGGCCAGCCTGGGCTACACAATGAGTTCTAGGCCAGCCTGAACTGCACACTGAGATCTTGGCTCAAAAATAAATATAGTGAAAGCCGGGTGTAGTGGTGCACGCCTGTAATCCCAGCACTCAGAACTCTGAGGCAGGAGGATTGCTACAAATTCGAGGCCAGCCTGGGCTACAAAGTGAATTCAAGATCAGCCTGAGCTTCAGAGTGAGACCCTATCTCCAAAAGACAAAAATAAATAAATAAATACAGTGATACCTTGGTTTTGCTGAACATCTCCAAACTTGAACTTTCCACTACTGGAACAGCAAAGTTTAAAAAAAAAAATCTGCTTGGTGTTCATAACTTTGCTTGAGCCAGGCATGGTGGCACATGCCTGTAATCCCAGCACTCGAGAGGCCGAGGCAGGAGGAATGCTGCAAGTTCGAGATAAGCCTGGGCTACAAAGTGAGCCCAAGGCCAGCCTGAACTGCATAGCGAGACCCTGTCTCAAAAAGACAAAAAAAAAAAAAAAAATCATTACAAAATTTTTTTGTTTTTGTTTTTCATTTTTCTCCCAGTACCAGAAATTGAACTCATGACCTTGCGCTTGCCAGACAGGCGCTTTGCCGCTGAGCTAAATCCCCAGCCCCGCAAAATTTATTAAAGTCCTCAAAAAATGAATTTATAAGTGTAATTTTTGGGCCTCAGAACCAACTATTTGGTTTTCCATTATTTCTTACTAGAAAAATATGTTCAGTTCTCAAACACTTTGGTATCTGAACACAAATTTGAAACTAATTGAGTTCAACAATCAAGGTGTCACTATAAATAAAGAACAACTCACAGGATGGGTGAACATACTTGCAGGTAATACATGCTATAAGAGATTTATATCAGAATGTCTAAAATACTCTTATGACTCAATACAAGACACCCCAAGGCCAGGCTGAACTGCACAGCAAGACCCTGTCTCAAAAACACAAAAAATAAAAAATAAAAAAAAAGAACATAAACTTTTAAAAAATTCTATAGTTTTTCTCCTAATTATAATATGTTCATTGTAGGAAACAGAAAATATTTTAAAAACCAAAAGAAAGAGGGCCTGCGATGCAGCTCAGTGGTAAAGCACAAGGCCCTGGGCTGGATTCTCAGCTCCAAAAAAATAAAAAAAGAGGGGCTGGGGATTTAGCTCAGCGGCACAGAGCCTGCCTGGCACGCACAAGTTCGTGAGTTCAATTCCTGCTACAGGAAGAAAAACAAAGAAAGAAAAAGGAAAGAAAGGAAGAAAGAAAGAAAGAAAGAAAGAAAGAAAGAAAGAAAGAAAGAAAGAAAGAAAGAAAGAAAGAAAGAAAGAAAGGAAAAACTACTCCATAACACCATAACCAAATGTCTTATAATATGTGGATGTATTTTATTCTAATCATACTTGTGATCAGAACTGTGTTTCATAACCTGCTTTTCCCATGTAACACTTAAACATTTTTCCATGTTCCAAGGGATATACAGTAACTTACTGAAGTCATCCACAAGACAACTGTCTAGGGTTTCTTTTGCTTTGTTTTTGCCATGCTGGGGGCTGAACACAAGCCCCGTCGATGCTAGGCAAGTGCTCGTCCACGCGGCTATACCCCAGCTCTGTTTTGTTTTTGTTTTTTCAGGTACCAAGTACTGAACCCAGGGCCTCATGTGTGTTGGGCAAGGGCTCTGCAACTGAGCTACATCCCCAGCCCTTTTAAAGTTTTATTTTGAAAGAGAATCTCACTAAATTGCTTTGGCGGGCCTCAAACTTCCTTTTTTTATTCTTTGAGACAGCATCTCACTATGCAGTTCAGGCTGGCTTTGAGCTCACTTTGTAGCCCAGGCTGGCCTCAAATTCACACCGATCCTCCTGCCTCAACTTTCCGAGTCCTGGGATTACAGGCATGAGCCACCACACCCAGCTTTAAACTGTCTTTGAGTCCTCCTGCCTCAGCCTCCGAAGTAGCTGGGCTCATAGGCATGTACCTCAGCACCCAAGGCCTCTTTTAATTCTTGATACACGAAAAAATGCTACATTATATATCCTGCTGGGCTGTTCTCGCTGACCTCTTCCTTCAGAACAGGTCCTGCCTCCCTTCACAGGACACAATTAAAGGTCAGCAGAATCTACTTCCAGTACTCCAGGACTTAGGCCCCAGCCTCCACCCTGATTTTTCCCCTTGCCTAAGAATTTCAATTCTGAGAGTGGCCCCCAGAAAGATAGGCAGAGCTGAGTCGCCCTGAAGAGACCCCTATTCTGGCCCTGGGATCCTCATCTTTCCCAAGTCAGCTCAGTCCTGCAACTCTGATGCCCTCAGCGCCTTCCAGCAAGGCCGGGCTCCTCAGCCCACTTTGTTATTTACAAAGGCTCCTTCGTGACACATCCTTGCCCAGAAATCTTCAGCCATGTTTATTCCTTGCACTACATTTCTAGAAGGGTTGTCCTGGGTCAAAATGTATGCATTTGCTACGGATCTTTTTATATGAGACCTTGCATCCTCGGGAAAACCTGTACCAATTAACAGAAAAAAAGGAAGAACAGAAATTCTAGAGTTGTGAGTCTTTTTTTCTTTTTTTAAAGAGAGGGGTTAAAACAGCAGTATGTGCTCGCTTTGGTAGCACATATACTGAAAAGAAGCAATAGAGTGATGGAAGACACAAGAAGCATGCAGACAGTCTGTGGTTCCTTACTTTCCCTCCACTAAAGGTCTGTAAAGCCAGGTGTGGTGGTGCACATTGTAATGCCAGCACCCTGGGAGGCTGAGGCAGTAGGATCGTGAGTGTGAAGTCAGCCTCGGATGCACAGTAAATTAGAGGCTAGTATGGAACACAGTGAGACCATGTCTCAAAAGAGAGACAGACAAGAGAGAGAGAGAGAGAGAGAGAGAGAGATCCATAAAAAGGAACAAAGTGAGATTCAGAGGGGAGTCAGTAGGAGCTGTGTGTGTTTCCCACCTCCTTTGACTACATCTTTGTAGAGGGTCCCTCCCTTTGGCCGAAGGTGGCAGGGCAGGACAGGGACGCTGCTGGGACCACAGAAAGCCGCATTTTATTATTATCAGTCAACACAAATCTTTGCTGTGGCTGTGAAACCTGCCTGCTCCTCCTGCAGCGTGTAAGAGTCCGCTTTCTCTGCAAGTCACAAATACGTCCACCCAACACGGCACAGGACCCTGAATTAGACCCTGGTGTGGAGCAACCAGCACATTCTGGAATTTAGTTAATTATATTTTTCTACTGGTTTCTTGGTTTTGCAAATGCACCACAGT